TTTATGATTTTTTCCCATCTAAAACAAAGTTTCACTTCAAAAAAAAAAAAAAAATTTCAAATTACATTTGCCATGTTATAATTTTATAAGAGGATTAATTTCAATATTTATTCTAAAATAAATGTTCATGATTTTGTGTATTTTGTTTATCAATTATCAATTTGATCTATGTTCATTCTTACACTATTAATTTATTATTAATCAATTTGGCCAATTACAAATGTATGATAAAATGAATAATTAAAATAGATGACGAAAAAATCGCTAACTTCATGACATAAGACTTCTTTTTTCGTTTTTTCTTTTTTTGACAAAATAAATATTTTACATTATAGTGAAAAAAGAAAAGTAATCATTTGGTCAAGGCACAATCCTCAAATTGAGAACAATTAATTGAATTAGTCAAATTAGTCATGTTTATAAATATTTAATTAAGAGGGGGAGAAAATTAGCTAGCGTTTGGTAGAGTTTTCTAAATATGATATGAGAATAAAATTATATTTTGAGTTTGTGAATTTTGAAATTATAATTTGAGTGTAAAAAATTTATTTGGTTATGAATTTTGAAAAGAGTTTTGAAGGGAATTTTGAATTTTTGAAATTAGAAAAGTTATTTAATTCAAAAACTTACAACTCACAACCAAACACACAACCTAAAATTCTATTAAAATCTCATATAAAAATTTTAAAAATTCTGAAAATATTTTTTATGTACAATATAAAAATAACAGGTGCAAAAAAAAAAAAAAAAAAAAAAAAAAAAACAAAAAAAAAAAAAAAAAAAAACGAATACTGTTCTGGTCAACCGGTCGAACGTCCGGAGGATGCCCAGGTCAATCAAATCTTTTCGCCTGGAAATGAGTTTTCAAAAGTGGGCGTGGAATTATAATTTAAAAACTCAAAACAAACACCATACTCATGAATGTGGGTGAAAATGTGTTTGACAAACATAACCAAACACAGTTTATCACACACAATTAATTAAGATCAAGGGATCAACTCTTATTAAAGACAAAAAAAAAAAAATGTCTAAGGTCCCTATCTCATTTTTAATAATGGTAAAGGTCCACAATATTATTTTGTGATGTCTAAAGTCCCTCAACCTCAACACCCATATATCATAGAAAAATTTGATTCTCTCAAATCAATCCTCATCTCTCTCTCTCTCTCTTTTCATCTACCGTTGCTGTCCGATCTGTCATCGTCACCGGTTACCACCTGTCATTGTTGTGCTTTTCACATTCTTATGTCGCCAATCTCTTTTCTTTCTCTCCCTCCCTCTCTCTCTTCTTCATCTTCTCTCTCAGGACCCTGGCACTGCCTTTGACAGAAATTCTAATGACTTTAAGCACCAGAGAAAGTGCCACAAGCTCACTCTTGGCTTGGCCACTAAGAGGCTCAGGCAGATCAAGATGCAGATCAACCTTAGCGATGGTGATGGTGGTAGTGATGCTTCTCCTGTTATGGTAGAAGGAGATGAGTTTGAGATACCTTACCAAGAACCTCTTGAGATCAAATATAATTAATAAAAGAAGAGAGGACGAATACCAGAGTCATTCGTAAACAGACGGTTAAGATCAAAGAGAGTACGAATGCCACCGGTAAGCCATAGTCAAAATCAAAGACTTTCAAACAAGAGATAACAAAATGCACCAACTTCTATAGCCTTAATTAAGGCATATCTTTAGTACCGAAAATCCAAATTGGAGCTCAACTAAGTCATATATATATATATATATATATGTATAATCTGTGTGTTGCTAATTTGAGTGATTTGTATATATATCAAAATTACAAGGTTCATGGTGATGATGATATATATATGTATGCACGGTTATATTCATCTTTTGGATTTATAAATTGGGTGTTGTTGTTATTGCTTATTTGAGTGTCCTTTATGCTACCAAATCGACCTTTGAAATCTAGAGAATTTCTCTGGATCTCGAAAGAATTTCTCTGGAAAGCTAGAAGAGAGAGATGAAGAGGATGGTGATGGTGGTGCTGGTGGTGCTGGTGGGTTTTGAAGGAGTGGATTCCAAAGAAATTCACTTCATATTTTTCAATCTAAGCTCTATCCAATTTTGTTAATTGGGGGCAAGTAATTAATTTTTTCATGGGATTCGCTTCTGAATCGACCTCAATTTCATAATTTTCTCTGAAATCCAGAGAATTTCTCTAGAAAGCTAAAGGAGAGAGATGAAGATGAGAGTGGTGGTGGTGGTGGTGGTGGTGGGTTTTGAAAGAGTGGTTCCAGAGAAATCCACTTCATCTTTTTCAATTTGAGATCTATCCAATTCTCAGATTTCTTTAGGGAGTAATTTTTTGAGAAGTTTAGAATTTCTCTAGAGAGTAAGAAGTTCAGAGAAATTTCTAGAATTTATTTGGAGAAAATTTCTTTGGAAAGTGCAGAGAAATTCTCTGGATTGAATTTTGTCTAGATCAATGTTGAGAGACCGTAGACATTATGAAAAATATTAGATATCCTTTATGCTATAAAATCTTAATACTAGGGACTCTAAAAAAAGTCCCCAAAAAATAATAATTGTGATTGATTCAATTTTCTGAATTCAGTTTTCTAGAAATTGAGTCTTTATTTTTCTTGTTTTTTTTTTAACAAATATTTTTAGAATTTTAAGTATTTTTTTATTTTTTTAGATACACCTTACTTAGATATATCTAAAAAGTAAAATATTTTAAAAAATCAATAAATATACAAAAATATGAAAAACGTATTGAATTCTTTTTTCTTTTCTTTTTTTGTATTTTTGGTATTTAGTGAATTTTCTAAAAAGAAATTCACAAATATTATAGGTGTGTTTGGTTTGTTTTTGGGAGATAAATTTTCAAAAAAAAAAACATGAGTAAAGAGTTTAGAAATTTTTTTTGTTTGTCTGGTTGTATATTTTGGAAATAGTTTGGGAGTGTGAAAGTTTGTGATAATTTGATATTTTGCTATAGTTGAGTAAATGTATGTGAGAGAAAAAATGATTGAGAAGGAGAGAGGAGAGAGAAAAAGTAATTGATTGGCATGTAGGAGGTAGAAAGTAATTTTGAAATTTTTTTTCCAAAATTACTAAACCAAACAAAATTTTAAAAAATTTGCTTCAAAATTTATTTCTCAAAAACAAACCAAATAAGGCCTATATTTTTAAATGTATTTATATTAGAAGCATCTAAATTTTTTTTAAAAAAAATTTACTTAAAATATTAAAATATTCAAAAATAACAAATGAAGATAAGAAACGGAAACAAAAGGCACTAGCACGTTGTACATTGTATTTTAATGAGAGATGCATTGAATTTCTTCTTGTTGGAAAACCCATTACTAGAGGATATCATACCCTAGCCATTGCATGGTTCATTGTTAATCAGAAATATGGAGACTTCAGCAACAGAGAAATGATTAAGGCAAGAAAGACAGAAGTACAAAAAGCTCATGCCCAGGACAAGTAGACAAGCTCATGTCCCACCAAATTCTAAAGAAGAAATTTGCATTTGAGAACAAACCAAAAGCTGGGTTGAATGGAACCAATAATTTCTTTGATTGGTTTATGGGCATACATTAAACATGCACATCCACCAGAAAATGAATAGATAAACCCCACTTCTCTCATAAAAATCACGACTGGTCCATATGTAGAAGGCACCTTCCTTTTTTTTTTGTAATACCTTCAGACTCGGCACTGTCAGCATCCTCTGCAGAAAAGATCTCTCCACTAGGGCCAATCATGCCTCTCCTCAAACCACGTAAGTTTATGAGGTAAGACACCGTAAAAAACTCTTCTTCTTGTTCAATTTCATTTTTTGTTGTTCTTGCCTTTGACGAGAACAATTTGATGGGTTGTATTATATTTAGGTTTTCAAGAAAACTCAGATGGGCAGTGCTTGAAATTGCAACATATCTGAGTCGGCTTTGTTGACAAAGAAAGCCAAACATTGCTCCCAAAAGTCAGTGATAGACAAAATCAGCAGAGGCTAGAGCTAGCGAAGCAAGAACTCAACCAGTTTGAGGGGCAAAATCTGGGTAGCTTCACTTCACTCGCTCTACCGAGATTCTTTTTATAGGTCTCCCACGGTATTTTTAGGTTTTTTGGACCCAGGATTAATCCGGCGAAGAAATTGCCAGGCGCATATGCGGGGTCCTCTTCCAAAGGGGTTTACTGCATCCACAAAGGCTTTAACTCGACAATTTTGCTTAAGTGACCCAAGTCCCTTTCCACTTCGACCAACCCCCATTGGTGCTCTACCGAGATTCGCCCCCATTGATGGATATTATTTCCTTTTTTATTGGGTTAGAAAAAAAATGTAAAGAAATGAATATATATTTATATATATATTTTTTTGTTTAATTACTGGTAAAAAATGAATATTTGTGAAAAATTTAAGGTAGCTTTTGGTAGAGCTTTCTAAATATGATTTGAGAATATGAATTGTATTTTGAGTTTGTAAGTTTTGAAATTATGATTTGAGTGTGAAAAATTTGTTCGGTGAATGAGTTTTGAAATTTTTTTTGAATTGAGTGAAATTTTTTTGATGTGACATATTATATTTGATACAAAAACTTACAACTCATAACCAAACACACAACTCAAAATTCTATTAAAGCTTATAAAAAAATTTAAAAATTCAAAAAATATTTTTTGTTGAATATATAAAAATTAATGTGTCAATTGCAAAAAAAAAAAATGCACTGTTTCGGTCAACCGGCTGAACAACCGGTGGGATGACTGATTAGTCCAAATTTCTCGCCTTCGACCGAGTTTTTAAAAGTATGTGTGCAATTAATTTTTAAAAACTGCAAACAAACACTACGTGAGAACATTATACTGGAATTAAAGTTTCAAAACTCAAACAAACATAGCCTAATTTACTTTTTATTTTTCTCCCCTCACTTTTCCAAATTAGAAAATATTATACAAACTAATAAATCTTACAAAACAAATTTGAAACTTTGAAATATGAAACAGTTAAAAAATTATAAAATTTACCTTACTAATCTATATAATAAGGGAAAAGGGCTTTTGAAAATGTCTAATTTATGTTAGAGATACATTTTGATCCAATGGTCCATATCAACCTGGGTATATATCAATGACTCAGATCAATGTATTTCCCGCCCAAATATTTCTCTCCCTCACCCTTCCACCTATCCACGTCTCCTCCCTATTTCCTCTTTATCTCTCTCTCTCTCTGTTCTCACCCACTCTCCTCTCATTCCCTCTTGATCTCTATCTTCCTTCCTGTTCTTTTTCTTTCCTACCCTCCCTCTGCCGCTGCTCTCCAGTCTTCTGCCTCTCGAACTCGGCTGTATCTGTCCCGACGCTGCTCGCAAGGTAAGATTTTTACCTCTCCATTCTCTCTCTGTTTGTGTTTGCCTCTCCAGTCCTCGAAAACTTATTCTGTCTCTCCAATCTTCTCTGTCGGGCTGTGAACAGGTTATTTTATGGTTTTGTTTTAGGGCTATTTTCTGTTATTTAGGGCTATTTTCCATTGTTTATTTTGGATTTGTAATCCTCTCTGTCAGGTGAACAGGTTATTTTAGGGTTTTCTTTTAGAGCTATTTCCATTGTTTATTCTGGGTTTGTAATCCTAACATTCAGGCTGTGAACATGTTAATTTTTGATTTTGAAATCAAAAATTACGAAGAGGTGTTTTTTAGTAATGTTAGGTAAATTATTGTGTTTTGATTGCATTGAGTATATACGATTACACTATTTTTGGAAATCCATTGATACAGAGAGGGAAATCCATTGAAATCCATTTTTGGAAATCCATTGAAATCCGTTAATCTTGGTTTATGCTTATAAAGTGTAAATAATGAGAGGGACTAAGGTGTTTTAGTGTGGAAATCCATTTAATATATGAGGTGGAAATTATATGAGGTGGACTAAGGTGTTTAATTATAAGGTGGAAATCCATTTATGCTTATAAGGTGTAAATAATGGGATTAATCTACTGTGTTTGCTCTGTTGTCTGAGGAGGGAATTGCCAAGGGAATTCATAGAGTAACTGCTATTACAACACTGTGCTTCTAAGGCCTTGGAACTAGCATTGTCACTTGAAGTAAATGAGGCATCAAAAACAAAAGGAAGCTCGCTGGAACAGGTTGTCACTTCTTTTTATTATTTTTACCAGATTCAGATACAATGTCTCTTCCTGTGAATTAATAAATGATAAACTGAACTGCTTTTTCAAATTCATTATTCATGTTTGACCGTGGCTTTTTGTGTGATAGTTTGAGTTATGTTTTCTTCTTCCTGAAGCAAGGGTGTTGCTTAATTCATTATTCATGTGTGACCCTGCCTTCCTCCACCAGCTTTTCTACCATTTTTAACTTGCATTAATCTCTTTTTTGCCAGGTCTAAAATAGTTCTACACCTGGATTTTGACTTCTTATTGTTTATAAGCTTGGTCGACTGTTGAAGGGATTGTGGTGGGAGGGATGGTACTTTGAAATGTAAATAGAATTTGTTTGTAAGTGTGGATTGTGAAGTACAAAGTTTCACTTTTAAGTATATGATTCATTGAATGTTGGTCATTTGCATGTGCCATATGTTGACAAATGTGATTTTTGATTCATGATTTTAACTAAATATGCAACTGCTCCCTAAACTTCTACTTCAGCCTAATTTTATTTTTTGGTTAGCTATTTCCTAAAATACATCTTTTTTTTGTTGTTGGGAGTGCTTTTTCATTTAGTAGATCCTGAATTGTGCAGGCACTAAAGCAGCTACCTCAAGGAAAGATCGAATTAGCCACAAAATTTGGTATTGCCAAAATTGAACCTACCCAAATTGTGGTGAAAAGCACCCCTGAATATGTTCGCTCCTGTTGCGAGGCGAGCCTGAGGTGCCTTGGTGTGGACTACATTGATCTCTACTATGTACACCGGATTGACACATCAGTACCTATAGAGGAAACCGTATGTGTCTTGGTTCTTCTTTCCGATAAAGTTTACTGGTTTACTGGTTTATTGGTTTATTTTTCTTTTAAAGTTTACTGGTTTACCTATAGAGGAAACCGTACCTAAAGTTTACCGGTTTATTCTTCTTTTAAAAAAACAGGGAGGTATTATTGGAGTTTGAATAATTTTTTTATTAGTATTATTTGTAATTTTTTGTGTATGTGATGTTTGAATGAAATTTTCTTCTTGAATGGCAGATGGGGGAACTTAAGAAGTTGGTGGAAGAGGGTAAAATAAAGTTCATTGGATTATCTGAAGCAAACCCAAACACAATAAGGAGGGCACATGCCCCCTACGGGCCCTACCTTTCTACTCAACCATATCAGCATTCGTCTGTTGATTACTTGTAAGGACGTTTCTAAGCAATTGGTGTTATGATCCTGCTTGCATGCCTTAAATACATTTCCCATCATTGGTTTGAAAATTTTGCTATTTATTCACTATATATATAAATTCACTATTAAATAAATGATTAAATTCACTATATATATAAATTAAGTTAACAACCTTATTTAAGAGCTCCATTTTGATCATCATACTTAGGGGAACACAACTGCACAGGGTAAATGTGGAAAAAAAAATTACAAATTAGTGTTAAAATTTATAAATTTTAATAATAATGATTTTATAGTTTGTTTTTAAGTTACTATGAATTTTAAATTTCTCTTTGATCTACTTCGAATGGGTTTCATTTTGAAATGTGTTTTGATTTCTCAAAGGTTTTATTGTGTTTGAATTTGTGTTTCTAAGATTTGGGTTTGGGTTTGTGATTTTTAATGTGTTGTAATGTTTATTAACTGGGTTATGACTCCCATTCGAAGCTCAACCTTGAACAGCAATGGAATTCAAATAGGAAGAGAGAGACGTAGAGGAAAAAGAGGGACAGAGCTATATGCTCAAAAAAGAACAAAAACAAAAAGAAGTAGAAGAAGAAAAGAAAAAGTAGCTTTAGTTAAATAATTGCACAGAATTGTTTAAAGAATAATGCTACAGGATTGTTATTGTTTAAATAATTGTGTTTATATTAACAATTTATTTATTTTTATTAAAAAATAAAAAAATGTCGAGTAGTTTTGGTTTTTCAGATACTTAACATATATTTGTGAGAAGCCAGATAAATCAGTAGTTTGAAAGTGTTAAAATCTGAAGGTGTTAGAATCTATTACCAGAAAAATCAGTAGTTTGAAGGTGTTAAAATTGAGTTTATGAGTCATGTTTATATAGAAAATGCTTTTTTTTGTGTGTGTAGATAAATTTGAACTCAAAATTTAAATTAGGTTTAAATTGGGTTACCTTAAAAAAATGATCACAAAAGTGAATTTTGAGAAAGAGAAGAAATAATGGGAGTGGTGATTTGTTCAAAAAGTGAAAAGAAGAGTTTTTTTATTAATAGAATTTTGACTTCAAATTCTTATAATAAATTATATTTTTTAATTTTTATTTTAATTTTATTGGGGTGTATTTATGTTTGGTTATTTTTACAAAATTCATTTCAAAATCAATAAATTTGATAAATTACATTTTAAATCAATACTTTTAAATTTAATTATATTTTAATCTTATAATTAATTCAGACACGGATATACATTTTTAAACCTCCAAACCAACCCTGGGGACTTGCCTGGTTAGAATCTATTACCAGATGAATCAGTTGTTTGAAGGTGTTAAAATCTGAAGGTGTTAGAATCTATTATTAGATAAATCGGTAGTTTGAAGGTGTTAAAATTTGAAGGTGTTAGAATATATTGATAGAAGTTGAACTTTTTGAGCACTTTCAAGTTGTTGTAAGCTTTAAAGACTCTGGAAATTAGTTCATCAAAACGAAAACCATGCGGATGGAATGTGATTGGCTGAATGGAAAAAGCAAGCCAATAGAGAGTGAAGTCTAAAATAAATAAAAAAAATTAAAAAAAAAAGAAAAATAAAAAGAAAGATCTTTGGGTGACCCACCACCCACTAGGAAGAGGTCAGAAAATTTCACGACTTTTGAGAAATCAAAATATTGTATTTATTATTATTTTTATTTTTAAAATCTTAATTTATTTAGCTTTTATTGTTTGTTGGACAAACTACTAAATTGAAATTTTAAACAACATGATAATTATTTATTTGGTAGTATTATATATATCAATGGGTATAAACAATAGAATAATTATTTGTTTGCCGACAGTGGGAGTATTTCGGTGCTTCTCTGTGAGCTGCATCACCGAAGTTTTAAGTTATTTTGTTGTTACTTTATTTGAGTTTTATAAAACTTATGATACAAGTAAAATTGTTACAATTTTTTAAAAAGAATAGTATTTCTTTATATTTTTTCAATATTTTTGTCAAAAAAATTACAGAATTCATAATAAATTTTAATATAATACGTGTTAATTACAACTGTATTTTAATCACAACATTATTTGTACCGTGCCTTCAGGCACGGACATACGCTAGTATGTATAATATTACCCATCCAAATATAAGCATAGCTAAATGCCAATGACCATTGACCTTCATGATAATTTTTGGACTGGAAGGTCTAGTTGCAACTCGCATTACTCAAAAGCTGTTAAGACTGTCTGATTTCCCCAAAAAAAAATATGATGCATGAGCAGCAGCAAGCATCTTTTCATATCTTAGATCCTGGTCTTGGTTCCACAAGACCCATTTTCCTTCAATAAATATTCTTCAGACCAGGAACATCATCCTGCTATTTGTTCACAAACCTCCCCAGGAACACTTCCTCTTTGGGTATTAGAAAAGTAGTCAAGCGCAGATCTTTCTTCACCAACTCTTTTGTCAGCAGAATTTTAACAACTGTGCACCGTGGGATGATCCTCCTCTCCATATTGAAGAAGAGGACTACTGGACATCTAGCAGCAACCGTGGCTTGCCAACCCATCTTGTTCACAAGAAAATCCATTGTTTCCATAATTTTCTCTTCCAATAAATTCATACACAATGGATGTGATCTGAATGCCACAGAATCTCATCATTAGACAAACCCCATCTCCCATAAACCTCTTTTTTCTGTTCGAAAGTTGACTCATGCATATCACAAAGCACTTGGACTGCATGAGCGAATGTTGATCTCTGAGGGTTGAATCCCATTTCAATTGCCTTATTCACACCTTCTTTGAACTTGAGACTCTCCTGATACAGTGTGTTAGGAGAACGACACATCATGAACGAGATTACGGATTGAGGCACCCCAGCTTCTCTCAATGTTGCTATATTAGGGGCAAGTACCTCTTCCACATTGAATAGAAGAACCCTAGGACGACTCTTCAACATTTTAATGACATTTTGATTGAGAAAAAGCACACTCTTGAGGAAATTATAACAAGGGATTAGCTGGTTTTCTAAGCTTTGGGACAATAAAGCTTGGCAGTAGCTAGCACAGATAACTCTTGGAATGTCAGTGCTTGACAAGCCTATAGAACGAAAGAACTCAAGTTTAGGCAAGATGGTTTTCTGGGGATTGCAGAAAAGGATTGTTGGGTCCATATCAACAAGTTTGGAGATTTGGGTATTGGTGAATCCATAATTCTTCAAAAGGGTTTTCACTAGCTCTGTGTTTTGTACTTTCTTAGATGATAAAGTATCAATTTTTGGGGCACAATCAATGGAACGATTGTTTGAATCTTCTTAACACAAGACTCTTCGATGAGAATAATTTTTTGATGGGTGGTGTATTCGGAGCAATGAAGAGATGAATGTTCCATGAGCCACTAACAAAACTATGGATTGGGCATAGATTTTTAGAGAAGAAGAAAGAGAGCATTGTTCAAGAAAAATTGAATCAAAGCGCAAAGAAGCTCTCACCCTGCATCAAAGATCATGGAAATTGGAGTCTAGAGATGGACAAGTGAGAGAAGTCGATATGAGCAGTTCAGGCTGTGGCTACGGCGGCCAACGGTGGAGGAGGCGACGTTGGCTGTGCCTTCAATCCTAGCTTTCGGATTTGTTGATTTGTGAGATTGGATTTTGTTTTGATGCTCTACACAATGTCGTTTTTGTAGAAGAGTGTGTATATAGTGTGTTGGGAAATTTTATTTCCATACGCGTTAGGATCCTCTGGAGTGATCTCCCTAGAGTGATCTCCTAAAGTGAGTGAGATGGGCTCGACATGTGTCCCACTAATGGAATTAAGGGTTAAGATCAATCCCTCACCAAAATGACGTCGTTTTGGTGGGGGAATTTCAAAAAATAAATAAAAATAAATAAAAATCAAATGTCTGGGTTCACTTTCACTCTGTTCTGGGGAGAGTTAGAGAGAGAGAATGGACCAAAGCTTTGATTTTGTTTTGTTCTTTCCTTGTTCTTTCATGTCCTCTTGAAATCTAACAGTTGAATAGTAGTGATGGTTGGCTTTCTGATAAAGCCTTGAAGGGGGGAGATCTGTTCAAGTCAGCCCTTGATGATGATGATGAAAATAGCCCTTGCTCAAGTCAGCCCTGTTACAGGCATGGCTTCGCCGCTACTGTGGAGATCTGAAAGACCTCCTCCGCCGATCTCCGTGTTCATTGACCAGATCTGCTAATTATGTTGCTCATTTTGATTTTGATGATGATGATATGGGGTCTGTAAGTATATATACATGCATATATAAATACATACTGTCATTTTGATTTTGATGATGATATATGTAAATATACATGTGGGGATATATTTTCTGAATACCAACACGTGGCTAAGGTGACGCCGACGTGTCAGTCGAGGTACCACGTGTCCTGGTCATGACGCCGAAGTGATCTCGGCGAGGCCGAGGTTACCTCCGAAGATATCAGAATCCGAGATAAGCGGATAAGGCACAAGAGTTCTAAAAAGGAGGAAGACTACAGTTGGAAAAGGATAAGACTCTTAGAGAGTTTATCCTAATCCTACTAGGAGTCCAAGATTAATAGTAATCCTAAGTCCGTTAGAGCTAGGCTCCTGTTGGGACAATGATTGAGTTAGCTATAAAAGAGAGGCACCCCCGTGGGTCTAAGGTACGCAATTTATGTTCTGAATAGTGAATTTAGTAATATTGATTATCTTTGAGAGATATGCTGACTTAATCGTCGGAGTGCCCCCGGGTGGACGAACCACCGCTGGAATCTTCTCTTTCTATTGCAGGTCAGCCAGGTGTCATCTATTCTGTCAGTTCTCTCCAGCTGAATGCTGAGTTGGGCAGTGTGATCGGAAAATCACTCACACAATTTGGCGCCGTCTGTGGGAAAGAAAGGAGAATAGATGGCCAGTAACGGACAGAAAGAAAAGATTGGGGATGACACTCCTGCTGGAAGTGGGAGACCTATTGACCTTGATATCACAAGAGATGAATGCAACGCAGAAACTCATGACCAGAATCACGGAGTGAAAGACGTCGGCCAGACCGGCGACGCACCAAAAAAACCAGATCAAAGTGGATACTACAACGAGGACGACCTTCAGGTATGGAAGGATAAGTGCCTGTGGAGGGACGAAGAGGTAAAAGAAATGGCAAACAAATTGGCAGACCTGCAGTCGGTCGTCAATTTCATGATGCAAAATAACGTCATGCAGCCACCGTTCCCGCTACAAGACACGCCGATTCCAGCGGCCAATGCCCAGAAGGGAGGGCAGAAAACAATCCCCGTAGCCCTTCAGCACAGCGGAAGCGAAAGATACTTTCACCGACCTTCTAGAGAAGTCGGACGAAGAGAGTCAAGAAGAAAAGAATCACGAAGGACGCATCGCACAAAGGAGGCAGACCCCAAAGGACACCGACATGTTCAGGGGCAGACACTATGCTTCGACACAACTAATGGAGAAGGGTCGAAAAGGACTCACCACGAAGCTGAAAGTAGTGCACCAAAAAGACTGAAAGCAGGAGATAGCCGAGCTCCTAGGCGGACGAAGGAGGACTTAAGAGATTACCTCAAGAGGAAGCAACAGAATGTTGACACCGAGGTAACCTCCCCAGATAAGCCGCAGACACCATTCTCGGTGGAATTGGACAGGTTTGAGGCACTGAAGAGATTCAGTATGCCGAGGTTCCAAATATACGATGGTAAGTCAGACCCCAACTTCCACGTTGGATTATATTTGAACTCAATGGCATTGTATAGTGGGAACGAGCCGTTGCTCTGCAAAGTGTTCCCCTCATCTTTTGGGGAGATTGCATCAGATTGGTTCCACAAACTACCAAAGGGAAGCGTGAATACTTGGGAAGGCCTGGCCGAGATGTTTGTGGCCAGGTTCGTGACAAACAAGTTACAGCCATTAAGGGTGGACGCATTGATGGCTCTGAAGATCAGCAAAGATGAAGGCCTTAGGGCCTATGTAAAAAGATACTATGAGGTGTTCAACCAAATACCCGAATGCAATCAAGAGGTTGCAGTCGTATCTTTCAAAAATGACCTGAAAGACAACTGTCCACTATAAAAGTCTTTGGCAAAGACATTGCCAAAAAGTATGGAAGAGCTCATGGCGAGAATCGAGAAATATGCCAGAGCCGAAGAAGACACGTCGGGATCTAAGGAGATAAAGCAAGAGAAAGGAAATGGCTCGCCGAAGCGAGGCCGTGGTAACAATGGATCGAGCAAACAAGAAACAGAACTAAGGGCTGCACAGGCAGTGACAACTGTGTTCTGAATCCCAATTCACAAAGTCCTAGAACAAATTCGGAATCAACCCTATTTCAGAGCACCAGCAAGGGCTCCAGGAGAATTTATGGAAAGAAACCTTGGTAGGCGTTGTGCTTACCAAAATGAAGACAGGCATATGACTCAGGGCTGCAGAGCCTTGAAAACACACTTGGAAGACCTGGTAAGACAAGGCCATCTGAGAGACTTGTTGATGAGGCCAGGACAAGGGAAGAACAGGCAAGACTGCCCCTGGCGCCAGCAGCTCCACCTCCCCCAGCACAGCAACCTCAGGCAAGAGAACCTCGGGTAGTTAACGTGATTCACTCGAAGGTCAACGAGAACGAAATTAGGGAGGAGACCCAGAAGGTGAAGCACCTGCAACATGTCTACCAAGTCGGGGAGAAGAAACATCGGGCAGAGGAGCGCCAAGAACTAGTAGTGTCCTTTTCAGAAGCCGACCTTGAGATGGTACAGCATCCGCATAATGATGCCTTGGTAGTATCCCTCCAGGTTGGGGAGTGCCAAGTAAAACGCATCCTGATTGACCAAGGTAGCTCTTGCGACATCATGTACGTTTGATGTTACAAGGAGCTTGGCCTTCACCCAGACGATATGGAGCAATCCAATAGTCTAATAGTCCAATAGTCGGGTTCAATGGAACGCCGACATGGCCACTGGAAACAACCAGCTTAGAGGTGCAGGCAGGCACCAGGAAGATAACAACAGAGTTCACCGTAATCGACACACCCTCCCCTTACAACATCATCTTGGGAAGGCCATGGTTGCATGCAATGGGGGCTGTTCCCTCAACACTGCATCAACTATCGCGGTTCCCAACAGAGAATAGGATTGAAGAGGTCAGAGGAGATCAGCTGCAAGCAAAAAATTGCTCCATGGCAGCAATGAAATCCACTTGCAGCATTCAAGAACCAAAAAAGGCAGAGATCGAAGACAAGGACGTAGAGGTCCTAGAAGATGTCGGCAAGAAGCCAGCCGAGAAGACTGAAGAAGCACTGAAGAAAATCCTCGTCCAGGAAGGGGATGAATGTCACGACCCAAACCCGGCCCTATGGGTTTAGCACCGTAACCGGCCAGTAATCCGAGATTACCGAAGGCCTGCTTAACAGTGGTACAGTAAAACAGAGTACAGGGCCTGGCGGAAGCCAATACAGTAATTAAACAATGCCCAATGAGCTGTGACAGTCTGTATGTAAAAAGACTTTCCATACATATATACATAATCAGTACAGAGCAGTATGCACAATATATACAATCATTCAGACTAGGGACTCCATCCCTTACATGACAGTGCAGTAAACATTCAGTCTATACAATCCATTCGGTTATTACAAAATAGTAAGACAGTACAGAAGGGGGAATCCTAAAACACCCCTAAGCTTTAGCATGATAGGCTTGGAACCTCGCAGTGAGGCACAGTAGTTGGCTTGACAAAACTGGAGTAACCCTAACACTCCTAGCCGCGGTCTGGTGCCTAAACACCTACATATATATATGAGCAGTGAGCTAAAGCCCAGTGAATAACATAATGCGTAAAGAGGTTAAGAATGAATGTCCTTGCAGTATGAAAACAGTTCATTTAAACAGTATTTCAGTTGTTCAGTCAGTACAGTCATATGTGGTACACCCATTAGCATAACAGTACAGTAAACAGTAGGTCTTAAAAGACCGAGCAGTAAATGATGGCCATCAGTCAGTAACAGTAGTGGTTCCAACAAGGGAACCGACAGAGATCTCTGTAACAGTAACAATAAACTGTAGGTGCTAAAGATGCCACAATACAGTTCAGAATATAGGACATGCATTCATTCAATTAACAGTATCAGTTCAGAAAACAGTACAGTTCAGTTGTTCAGAAGATAATCATTTGTGAACATA